TGATCCGGTGGCATTTCTAGTTCAATACACGTGCTGCTATAGCAAATGCTACAAGAAGTTTTCTCCCAGATTTAATTTTCAAGGACTTTCAGATCTGACGTCGAAGTATGGAAAAGGTAACGCGGCACACCCACCTCGTGTTTTGCCACCATTCAGGGCACACTACCAACAACTTTGACCGTTTCAGTGACGAACTTCGGAAGTCTTAGCTAAAAAGCGGCTGTTTGCAAGGGTACGTCCGATTTTATATACAGAATATGCCACTGGCATATTGGCAGATTGCTCTCAAACGCGGCTGGCATATGGCATATCGTCTGAAAATCGGGTTGGCATATGGCATATTGAAGTCGGAATATGCCTGGTCCTGGCCGAAAAATTGTATCATTTTCCTTGTTTTTATGGCGGTTGTCGGCTTGTCAAGAGCTCGTATGCCGCATCCATGCACTTTTATGTATATTAGGGTGACAAAATAGGCCAAAAGGGCCTCGGGTTGTCGCCTTTCCTTGTTTTAATACACTTTACAGGCGTTTTAAAACGTTTTGCTGTTTTATTTGTTTTATAAAACGGGCTATTTTGAAGTCCGCCTAACCCGCAGATACATGTATTAAGATTTTGGCGTTTTTTAATGTTTTAAAACCGTTTTACTTTTTGTGAGGGGGGCCAAATTTCAAAACGAGTAGTGTTTTAGAAACTATAGACGAAGGGCTATACGATGGTCAAAAACAAAACATTGGATGCATTTGTTTTTCCGTCGTTTTGGATGAAGGCAAAATAAAAACGCCCTCTATTTTAAAACCGGAGTTGCCACCCCGTGGCCACGAGAAGCGTATGCCTTTTTCAATGGCTATGGCGCAATTGAAAAGAGGCCATGATGCATGCAGACCCGCACAAGGCGCTGTCAAAGTCCTCTTAAGGGCCAACTATGTATGATTCACCTAAGGCCCACGGCCCGCGGCGAGCCCGCGACTACGCGTTCCACAATATAATGATGCAGTTCGACTGAATGGGCCGGCCGGCCGCCGCCTTCTACCTCGGGTGGCAACTCCTGTTTTAAAACTACAACGTGGTCGGATTAAAACACGGGTATTTTCTTACTTTGGCGATTTTAAAACGTTTTAAAAATTGTTTTAAAACGCCATTTGTTAACGTTTTGAGGGTTTTCGGTATACCTTTTCCTTGTTTTTTTGACCCGTTCGCTTGAATACAAGCTTGCATGGGCTCTTCCACGCATCGAACGATTGAAATTATTCGAAAAAACAATCAAAACTTATGAAGTGTTAATTCATTTCAAAACAACTTGCCATTTTAAAAACGCGTAATTTCAAGATGGGATCTTACCCGACCACATCTACAAGCGCATTTTTCTGTTTTAAATTGTTTAAAGTCGTTTTAAAATGGAGGGGGGGGTGTAAATTTTGAAAACAAGATAGGTTTTAGAGGTTTGTCGACATGGCGGATCCAATGGATGTGAATAAAACTGGAAAATCCACTCAAATGTACTGATTTTGGTGAATAAAATCTTCAAAACCAAACCTCTTTTAAAACAGGACCTGCCACCCCGTGCCTTCTACAGGCACCGCCGCGTCGCCGCAATGATGAATCTCAGTTCCAGGCCGCGCTCGTTGGTATACGTGGTCGATCAGGACGATGAGGACACGTCTGTTTGCATCAAGGGGCCGCTAGCTGGCAAAACTTGGGGCCAGCCGGGTGCGTAGGTTCATTGTCGAGTCGACTAGCGCGGCCCGCAGCTAATATGAAACTTTTGACAAGTTTGATACATGACATTGATGGAAGTACAACAGCTGGTCGACTGCTTTAGCGACTGAATTTGCAATTTGGGGCTTTGAACGCCACGCATGCACCTTGTTTGGTTTGTGACCCGCGCACAACATTATCATGATTGGTGCAAGTGAGTGCATACGGTGGTCAATCCGCATGCTAGGTCACTGGCGCACGGATAGAAAACGTGTCTTGACACTGATATGCTTTAAGTGGCGACATATATGACTAAATCTAAGGTATACAAAAGTAACATACCAATATAGATAGTGAGTCCGCTGGTGCGTTTGACATGCAGCGCGCACAGTCTGTGTCCCGAGGCTGTACCCATGTCTGCGATAGCTCAAAAAGTTTAAGGTTTACAATTCGTATAATTGGTCGAATATTGAGAGCGGCCAGGCTCTCAAGATCGCTCTCAAGATCCGACCAATCAAACAAAGTTTTCACAGGTCAATCAGCACAGCTTTCAGGAAGGCCATTTGCAGCCCGATCCAAAGAACGCTGCTATGTACAAAACCCAGACTACGCCACTGAGCTTCTCAGAGCTGGACAAGCACCTGCTCTATCAACCTCTGCACTGTGATCCCTGCCGTTCTTGCCCACAACCTAAGCTGCGCTCGCCAGCCTCGACCTACCAGCCTGAGCACAGGCACATTCTAAAGCTGCACTTTGGAGCCTCCCCCAGGCGCTCTATGCTCCGTCAGCCTTCCCGCTATCCTTTGGGTGAAACTTCAAAGACACACTGTTGATACAGTGCCGTTGACCGGTGGGCCGTGGCCCGTCGTTGAAAACGTGGCCTAAGTGGGCGCCGCAGACGGCGCACGTGACTTCCGTTCGAGGCATGAACGGAATCGACCAGTCGGAGTGTTCGTCGACGTTGTTGCCAATCTTGTCGTAGAAAGAGGGCCACCCGGTGCCGCTGTCAAACTTCGTTTCGGAACTGCAAAGGCGAAAGGCATCGGAACCGATCAAGACAATGCAAGATACATTTGTCAGAGTTTGAAGTTTCTGAGTCTGTCAAAAGCCGGCTTAGAGGGAATTCTCGCAAATTGCAACCAGTTTGAGGGTCTCAAGACGACTGAGGCGAAAGATGAAAAGCGAGGACCCCACTTCAGGGCTAGCTAGTCAAAGTGCTGTTCCAAAATTGTGTAACATTTGGCCAAATGGACCCGTCAAAACCAAACTTCCTGCAAATCGAGTCGCCGAGGGCGGTTTTCCCTTGCTTTTTAAGGGGAGACAAAAAGCTTGAACAGTTCCTGGACGCTTTTACGCACGGCCACCGGACCGTCTGCCGAACTATCCATCATGATTCGAATATCTGATGTATTCTTGCTTCGACCTGGACAACTGCTGCAAACCCAATGTAAGCAGCAATCCTCGGGAGCCAGCCGCTTGAGACGAAGTGAGTAGTCCCGACTCGGACTTGATGTGCACGGAAAACAACCAAGCATCGTCAGAAGAACCGTCAGCATGTCACCACCATGCTTGCTACTTCACACGTGGCTCACCTATAGAGCGGTGTATCGCAACAGATGCAGCTGTACACACCGGCCTCCTTGTTGTTCCAATAGCGCCTGCAAGACAGATGGGATGAAGTTACGTCAATAAGGAGGAAAAGCTCACTTGCCGCAGCAAACCCGACACAAAGCGGCCCTTCGAAAACTTGGGTACGAGCTTAAGCCCAAAGCACGGCTTTTGACTTGGAATCTCTTAGTGCCTGGCTAACCGTACTAGGCGCCTGTCATATGAAATAGGTCTCGACCTTTTCGGAACTCAGGACCTCAGGAGATTAACAGTTAGAAAATCGACGCTCCAGAGAACTGAAGACCTATCTCTAGATAACACAACGCCGCACGAAATACAAGCCTGAAGGCTAGCTTGCATCACTTTGAGAAAAACCTGTGCATGTCTGTTGGCAGACGCTTCCTGCAGTTCTTTTGTAAAAAGACATTCAAGGATCGTCATATATGACGTAAAAACCCCGAAGTACAACGGGCTTCTTGTGGCAGGCGATGCTTTTAACAACGTAGATGCAGCACTTACCCTGTGAACGCCCGCTCCGTTCCTTTCTTCCTTGCAACATAAAACTCCTCCTTCGTCAAGCGCTTCTGCCACTCTGCTTCACTGACTTTAGCAAACTCCGCTGCAAAAGAAAGGAGACTAAGATCAGCAACAAGACCCAGTCTCACCAGAATATGATCGCTTAACATGGTAAGACTTCAAGCGAAATTTGCCACTACAAACCGTGATCTTCGAGTCATCGGACAGTATGATAAAAATTTTCTTGCCAGACGTAGTAGTATGGTACGGATGGCGCTTGGAGCGACACGATCATGCACAATACAGACTCGACCTTCAAAGCCAAGTGGGAAAGCACAAAGATGCTGCTTTCTCCAAGAATTAAAGGAAATTGCTGCAAGAGAATAGCAACTCACAGGCGCCAGTTTTCTTTGTGAGTTGGGGCTCAACCCCACAAAACGACCACTTCCTCCAAGCAAGAATCAAGAACAGGAAGGCGACCGAGACAAGCAGTCGAGTGGGCCATGATGAGCGCCCAGCTTTGCGGCCTAAAAAGAAAGAAACCTCTAATCAAATTCTGTATGATCACTGATACTCTTTGCAACAGAGCCTGCTTAATACAACAATTCAGGAAGCACAACCAACGCCAAAATCAGTAATCTGATTTCTAATCAGGGGCCATTGTGTCAAGTCCTCTGCCTGGTATCACCAAAGAAACACCACACAAGTGGTGAGAGTTTCTGAAACTGTAAACCTAACGAAGTGGAGACCAGATTAGAGCCAGCTGTTTCCTTTCGGAAGAAGAAAAGCCCTTCTGTGCTGAAACGAACGCCGATTGCAGATGCAAACCTTTAATCCAGGGCCTTCAACAAGCTATCCACTAAGTTACATGTCACTGCAGCAGGCGTTCTATACCTTGACCACCAATATCTCGAACATACGTCTCTTTATAAGGAAGATGCCAAACACATCTCTTACGTCCTCACAGGGAAGAGGTTTCAAAACTTCAAACCTTTTGAAGAGTAGATTGAGATGTTCAGACAAAAAACTTATGAGCCCCCAACTTTGGAACACTCGACAACGGGCTGTGCCGCAGAACTCCATTACAGAACGACCATGGTTCAAAGCTCTGCCCATCCACTTTCATGACAAGGACGCCCCACTTTACCCAATGTTTACTTGCTTGACTGCTGATGCTGTTGGTCTGATGAGTCAGCTTACTCCAATGATAAAAACCTTCAAGTCGAAGCATCAGTCACTTGCATCAGAAAGCATAAAGGCAAAACCTGAAGAGGTATGCTTTCAACACGCACCTGCCCGTGGGTTTGCAGACACGTCAGCATTGCCTGACTGCGCACGCGTACCACTTGCGCCACATGCGTTGCCCATCCTTTCTAGATGCAATCGCTTGTGTCCTAGGTCCCGGAAGCTCAGCAGCCGGCGTGCTGAAAGGAAGAACCCTTGGCTGCGCTCTCCCAAAACGGCACCTGCTTTTCGGCTTTGAGTCGCAGCGCTTGTCTCAAGGTGAGCGAGGGAGTTCGGGAAGACTGTGTGCTGGGAGAGGATGCTTCTCGCCATCGGTGAACTTCGCAACAGAGATGATCCGGTCCTGCAAAATGTCTCAAGCCTCAAGGGCAGCTGAAGACCAGGTGGAGCACCTAGCTGGCAACTTCAAGGAACGAGGAGAGGAAGCAGCCTACGTAGACTCTAGACTCGAGAGTGCGATCTTCGCAGGCTGCTCCTTCGCAGGCTGGAATGACCCGTTCGATAAGATCTGACGCTTCAACATGGTCGACGTAAGCATCTTTGACGTCGTGCGATTAGAAGGCGAGCTCATCGACGGCCAAGTCCATCGTTGAGTTTCTGGTCGCAGCCCCTGTCGAAACCCTACTACGGTAACTAGGGTTTCGAGCTAGCTGAGCTAGCTGAGCCCCACAGGGTCACTCACAACAAAACCCTAAAATGCAGGTTTCAAGGTCTTCCTTCTCTTGTCTCAACTTCTCTTGATCAGCTCGGCAGCCCAAAATCTGCATATGCAGGGAAGGCAAAAGGGAGCCCATCACATGCGCTGTGACAATTGCCTTTATGATAGCTCGTCCTCCCCCGTAAGCTCTTGCTGGTGCTCTTTTCTTAATTTTCTCGTGAGCCCTCGCAAATTAAGTTTTGACACTGTGAAGAACGATTGATTTCCCAGCTACTGATCCGTACCACAAACAAAAGTCTTGATCTCCCGTGCAAAGTAAAGTCGGGGTCATCAACGCGCACGCCATAAGAAGGAGGGCAACCAGCTCCTGCTGATCCAAAATGATGGACAGCTTGTTCCGGAGGCGCAGCGACCCCCCCGCCCAGCCTTCTTCCAGCACCCCTCCTTATGCTCAGCCAGTCTCCAGTAGCTCTTACGCTCCGCCGAGCTCCTCTCATTCCCAGGGACAGCAGGTGTTTGGCCCACCCCACGCCCGGCCAGTGCCCTATACCTCGTCTGGAAGCGTTCCTTATGCGCAGCCGGTCGGCAGCTATGGGGCGTCGTCTCTCTATCCTAGGGTTTCGGTGGGGCCCACTCCGGTCATGCCAAATGCTGGGCCATCTTCGTCAGGCCAGATGCTTACTGGTAGGGTGGCAAGTGTTGATCGGCTTTGATCCACGCGGAGGTCATCTTCCGCGTGGTCTGACAGAGAGGATGGCTTCATGTTGGACATGTTTTCTAGGACATAAGATGGCCATGAGTTGTGCTCGATGGAGTTGAGTTTTTCCTTGTGGAGATCCTGCATGCTCCAGGGGAGAACAATTGATCTGACTTGCCTTCGTCCTCAACGGCCGTTAAGCTTGGATGCTCAATTGAATGCTTGTACTTCAGGATCTCATTGGATTCTCCTGCATTCTCAAACCTTCTGACCTTATCGACCCCCATTCTTTTGCAGCTGCCAACGGTGGCATTCGGGTGACTATTAAGCCAGCATACAGGGTTGCGCCTGCGGTGAGGACTCCTCTCATTTAAGCAAGGTCAAAGCTTAGAATGAGACTGAGCAAGTACTTCTGTCTGTGGACTTCTTCCAATGGTAGTCAAGTGGTTAAGTTCCCCCCTTCCAATGGTAGTCAAGTGGTTCCCCCCTGGTGTGTGTTCCCCCCTGGTGTGTGAACGTCGGCGGACACTTGTCAACTGACTTCTGAATGCTCTGAAAAATGAAGTTTAAAGAAGCAATGCATTGGAGAAGGCCAGCCGCCCTTTTCTCTTCAGTCTTACAAGAACGTGCTGAGATCATCAAACCCACAAATGGAACGATGCTGCAGTTGACTGCTCTTCAAGGGGGGATTGTACCCTATTCTAAGAAGATTCCGAGCAAACGCCAACTAGCAGCGCGACCCGCCAGTGCTGTGTCATTTCTTAGATTGGACTTCTTCAATTACAAGTTCTCAGCTCGACCCCCACGTTCTCACGTACAGGTCCAGCTGTCCCCCCAGAACATCGATGTGCCCCGCAGCACTTTCATGTTCGATTTCGACCTGGAACGAAAGATTATCGAAGAAGCGGAGCGAGGAAATTGGGAGCGGAGCGCCCGGGCTGTAGACCATTCGCACTCAAACGGGATTGTTTCTACGGTATGCTCATACATTGCATTTTCGGGAAGGACGATTGCTGGACTTGAATTTGAATCGAGGAAAGGGTAGATAAAGAGTGCTGGGGCATAAGTCGCTTTGATTACGTGCTTTCAGCTAGATTCTTCAGGAGCTTGCATCTGGAGTCGATGCATGGGGCAGGCCGCGATCCACAATCAAAGAACTTCCTTGATCTACCGTGACTGCTTTGATGATTTTGAGCGAACTGCCTTGCTCTTGTAAGTCGGTCTAAAAATTTGTCCCGTCTTCTCTGAGCACTTTCCCAGCTACAGATTTTCAGGCGCCGGTCAGATGGATTTTGTTGGAAGGATTCGTGTGGGTCTTCGAAAACCATCTCTGGCCGCAGACGTCTTCTCCTGGCACAAGGAGCTGCGTCGAAAGTGACTCGATACAGATGTCTCGACTAGACCCGGTAACCCCTTTCGCCAAGCCTTGTGTTACTGCAATGCGGAAGTGCCACGAGCGTGGGACTCGACTTGGCGCGGGGCAAGCCCTCTTCGTTCAAACGGTAGCCCTTACCGAGTGTCTGACATACCCATTTTCCTTTACAGTCTAACCTACATGAAGACCCTGTCGTCAGTAAGTACGTGGCTACGGGCTTGCCTCGGGATGCCGTCCAACTAGCGGTGGCCACTTTTGGGGATGTACAGAATAAGGTTCGTCTGCCTAACCTCGTGCGCTTCTGCTAGCCATCCTATGTTGTTTCCCCAACGCTTTTTGGCCATACGTGTCCAGTGTCTTGGTAATGGCTTACATGGCGCTTTTCTTTACCTGATTGAAGCACGGGGCCATAGACCAACTTTGTCAGAGTTGATTGCGCATGGTTTTACCACATCAAACAGCGCTGGTCTCATCTCTCAACGCTTTGCTAATCAAAGATAATGCGAGATAAGTGTTTGGACTGAGCCCTTGTTGTTGGTTGATCTCTTGACGCTAGTGAGGTACCTTCGAAAGTTGTGCCTCAAACAATATCCACAGAAGTTCCTGAAATTCTCATGCACTCTGAACAACTCTGTTCAACGACGGTACCCGACTTGGCAGCTTTAGCAATCTTGTCGACTTTCGCAACTCAAGAACGGTTTCCTCTTGCAGGTCTTGGATTTTTGCTCGCACTTCGGGGTGATGAAAGAAATGGGGTTTGCGCCCGAAGCAATAAGCGGCGCCCTGGCTATGTTCGACAATGATAGAGATAAGGCCATAGCTCAGTTGGCCGGAGGATAGTTCTGTTGCTTTGAGATAGCTTCCGTAAACGAAAGAATTTACTTTGGTTACATTTTTCTGTAAATCAGTGCATATATAACCAGCATCAAGCTTGACCGGCGAGTTGTTTGTGCACTCTGGCGCAGCTTATCTGCAAGCTGTTCGATTTGATAAGCCTAGTGCTTCAGTTCCTGCATGGCACTCCGACTCATTGAGCGGCGATGCCACGGGGTACAAGATCTAGGCACAATAAGCTGCCTTCGTATACTCCGTGCTGCGTGGGCCATGTGCTCATATATGATTCGGGCCGTCCGCACATGATCACGTTGCAACCTTGAGCTGCAGGGTCGATCATACATGCGCTCGCATGCTAGCTCGATCAGCAGCAGGAGGCCTGCATATAGACATGGTAACCATGAACATTCAGTTTACTTTTGTTATAGCTGTCAGTGTACAGTGATCTTTGAGACAATACGCCAGCTGGCGGCCCGGGCCCGCGCGTGCATCATTGGCAAGCGTAGCTTGACTTACAGGTAAGTTGTACTAAACGGTTAATGATAACTTAGTGATGATAGATCGATGCATATAGAAGTCTCATGCAGGCTGTCGACATGCCATTGGAGCCGTACATCTTGGAGAATGGGCAGATTATTGCATGATCAAAATATCACTCTAAAATCGGTCGAAACCGTCGCGACTGGACTCAGTCCTGAAGCCGAACCCTCGTAAGCAATGTATGTACAGAACCTTCATAGCATAAGAAGTAATCGTATGTACTAAATTCACTGATCTATGAGGAGCCTGGGCTTGATATCCACTGAACTCGGTTCAAGCTCACGAACTCACAAACCTGTCATTGAATCTTTCATCGCCTATCCGACATTGGTCTGTCTTTCCAAGAATGTTGTACCGGTTCTCCGCAACAAGCTTGTAGAAGGCGTCTCTAACAAGCCTGCAAACAGCCAAACACGATCAGGGTCAGATTGAATGCAGTGCAAATTTATTGGATTACTCGTCATGAAAACGGGGCCGTCAAGCAACATGAATCGAACTGTTTGAAACTTCTCAAATCCACTCCCGGCTAAGCTACTTCATATAAAAGTAGACTTCTACAGATCCTGTCACCCATCAAGCACGTCTCGAATCCTGGCTCCTCAACAATTTAGGGCCAATATTGCAATCTGCCTTCTAACAACATTCAAGCAGAACATCCTACGCATACACTGCCACTTAGGTCACGAGCACATGCATCGACAGATACAAAGAAGCGCGGAAGTTCAGAAGACAGAAACAGTAAATCTCGGCTTACCCAGGCGCAACCATGCCCAGTTTTCCGAGCACGCCAAAAGGGCTCCGGCAGATATTGGGCAATCCGTAGGATGGCTTCTGAGTGGGTGTAAGACCTGCAGGATAGTGATCGAAGGCCAATTGCTTTCTCGGGATTCATGGGGGGAAGCTCGATGTCGAATATAGTGGAAAGTAGAAGTTGACCTTTAAGAGACCGCTGCAAACAATACTGGAGGAGATTGGAGAAACAAGAGACGAGCGGTTCATATGGCAATCTGTCTATACTGCCCCTCGGGGCTTTGAATATCTGACTCGTTAGAACGCCTGTGCTAGATGTATCATCCAAGTTTCCCCTACCCATGGCCTGTAAAAAGACATGGAACAATAACGGGGCTCCAACACTAATAGTCCAATCCAAGTTGCCCCGATGAGGGTGCGCACTTGTCAGGGTTTTAAGGATACCATGTTCGAAATTGACTACTAGCTTTTCCGATGAGCAGTGATTTTACTTCCCTCCAAAGACATTAGCACAATCCGACCACTGATAACCCACAAAGGCAAGGGTAAGAAGCACCTGTCAGGCTCTAACACGGCAATATTGACTTGCAGTTCACCAACCAAAACTTCCTGGTCAAGCGGATCTTGCGAGGAGCCCAAACGGACTCAGACCACCACCAACTGAGCATAATCTGCCTTTTTTATTGCAAGGAGGGAAAACATACCTGTCCGGCTCTATCAAGACGATGCTGGAGATATCCTCTGGAGCCCGGCCAGCCCGCTGCAGCAGAGCCCTCCCGGCGTCACTTTGGAGAGCGGCAAACCGCAACTTGCTGCGGTGGGCAAGAACGTCCAGATCAGAAAGGGTGTGTAAAAGAAACTCAAGATAGCAATCTTGAAATGCAATATCTGGCCTACATTTAGTGGTTGCCTTTTGTCATGATTTTGAGGAGAGATGCCTCCTGTATGAACAAGCACTTTCAGCTCAATGATCCGCCACAGAATGCACCCTTTTCGATGTCGATTCAAAGCCCCTCAGTCTGGCTACATGGCAGGGGAGCTGTCTAACAGGAACCGGACCATGGAGAAGTGGTGTGATTGGCCCAATCTTGACAACAAATAATCAGAAACGGACCCTGATTTGCAGTTCTTTCAATCACCTGCAAAAGTGGATTGTAGTGAAGGGCTAGCAGATGCAGCTGAGGAGGAGAAACTCAAGAAACTCACCCCTGAGGGTCGTTGTCCAGCATGAAGTTCACACCACCATTGCAAAAGTTGCAAACTCCTGCAAGATCCATTTTCGCATGTCAGTGATTGTGAGGAGCACTCTCACATGCAGCAATTGGAAAGGCAATGGGTGTAACCGAAGTCTTGAAGCGGTCACAGACTTCAGGCATTGAGTCGGCCCCGTTTGAGGTTTTCGCTAAAATGGTCACCCTGACCAGACTATAAGAAGAGAGTCTCCCATGACTCCTCTCCTCTGTGCTTTCATCCTGGTGTGACATACTTCACCTCAATCTGCCCCTCATGGATCGAACTCGAGAGGCCATCAGCATATCTCCTAACGGAAAGAAGCACTTCAGAAGGGGCTGAAAGGAGGCTTGAGACAGAATCACGAAGAGGATATGTCCACTTTGTTTGGACTTTGCAGTTGCACTCTCACCATCAAAGAGAATGATTGGCCTCTTGTCAGCCGCAAAATACCGAGCGCCCGCACTTTGGTCTTGCCGTTGACTATCCTGTAACGACGGGGACAGCGCCTTTGAAGCAGCCCCTCTAACGCACACTGACCTATACGGTGGTATGAAAGTCTGTGCTATTTGGGGCGCCCTCTCTAACCGATCGGTGTCCCGAAGCTTCAAACCCGCTCCAGATTGCGAGCTGACATTCTGGCTAGAAAGTTTGGTTGAATTTCGGGGGAGCTGAAAAGTGCAGAATGATCTAGGGCCACGAGTCCTCAGGTGATATGCGGAAAGTCGTTCTAGCGAGGCGCAGAACCGGCCTGTTGTCTTGCCCCACACGGCCGTGTGGGAACCCATCGCCCTTGGAAACAGGTATGCAAGATGTGCTTTCTGGAACTTTAAAGTGCAATGCTGCTGAAAGGGGACTGAAAGCCTAAAAGATTCCAGTCGTCAACCTTTGCACTGTTGGCAGTGTTGCCAAGGAGACGTCAAACGCCGAGGAAATGTGTTGCACAAGTTCCACGATATCTAAAATGTATTCCAACACATTGTGGGGCATGGTCGCCATAGAGTCTTTTGAAAGTGGCCGGGAAACCATCCTGAGCCCGGGAATTTTGTTGTTTACACCGGATGTGAAGCCCCCGGCTGTCTCTCCCGGCCATCAATGATGCTCAACTCTAGCGACCACCTTTGTGCTCTTGCACTCCCTTCGTGTCAACAAACAGGGTGCCAAAATAAATCAAGTGGAGCATTGCCATTGGTAAATGTGGAAACAGCGAGCTGTACAGGGCGCCCTTCAGGCTTCAATGCTTCTTTCGAAAGCGGGCAAACTCTGACAGCCTTCAGGTGAACTGTGCTCCTGGCTTGTTCAACGAGATTGGTGCGTTTAGGAGGGCTTTGTCTAGCGGTATATCATCCCTTCAATCTTCGAGTTGAAGGTTCATTGAGGTTATTCTCCTTTGATAACATTTTCTAGAAAGACGATTAATACCACTCTTCTGCGACCGCGGGAAACAGCGGCTGAAGGGATAATTGAGTTGGCGTGACTGCACTGCGAGAAACCAGGACCCGAGAAACCAGGAAAGGCGGAAGCAGGAAAGGAAGGGGTCGAAACGGAAGGATACATATAAGAACAGGGTTTGGGTAAGCTGTCAGAATGGCGGCTGTTGGTGCCGTCGCCGACACGGCGATGGCGGTCCGGGAGAAGCTGCAGGGAAAAGTGTCTACGGTCAAAGTAAGAAGATACTGGCCGGGGAAGAGGCCAGATTGGGCGACTGAGGCTGACGATGGTAAGGTGTCTCCTGACTTAGCGTGCTAGTTTTCGGTCGTTTCTGGCGCTGCAGGCTGGTTGCATTGAATGCTTCGTAAGAAGCTGGAGAGCTTGTCATTGTGAAGCCTTGATGCAGATCAGCCTGGGCTTTATTCGCCGGCGGCTCCTTATGAAGTTCCTCCCAGCTCTTAGGGTTTTGAGGCGGTATCTTGCTGAGAATGGCAATCGCTTCTCAAGCGTTGACGCTGATTGGACCATTTGCTGCTCTTGTTGAAAAAATGGTTAGGTGTCAGCTACAGTGCAGTTGCACTGGAATCGGAGCTATGTACAATGCTCCAAATTTTGGTCTTGCGATGGAGAGATGGCTGCGCAGCGGATTTTCTGAAGTCCCCTTGTTTTTGGGCCCACTACCACAATAGGTCTTCACGTGCATAAGCTTGCTTGGAAGTGGCGGGTGTATTTGTCAAAGAAGTAACGACGCATTACTCAGCTTCGCTCGGCCTTGTCTTTGCAGCGGATGACCTGGTTCCGAAGCAGCAAGTCAAGACAGGGTTTGATCGCCCTACTGCCAGGTACGCAGGTTTCTTCACCCGCCATCTTTGTTTTGCAAAGGTTTCTCAAGGCTTTGTGCCACTTTTCTGGTTTTGCAGGGGAATAGGAGGCCCCACGTAGGCTAGGTATGCGTTCGACTGTGTTTCTTTTTCCCCAGAAAGTTAGTACTGCCTTTCAGTCTGTCAGATTTTGTATTTCTCTGCCTCATGAGGTTTTGCACTGCTGCAGATGTTCATCAGTCTTTGTCCTGCAATTTATGTCCGTCTGCAATTTGTACTAGTTGGCCACCAGCGTGAGCATAGCCGCATTGCAACCCTGGCAACTGGGAGTTTTTTGCTGGGAAGATGCGCGGCCACGAGTCGAAGCGGGGCCACTACGAGGCCGCCCAGCAGGATTGCGAGAGCACAAAATCCAATCTGTTTCAAGACTGGTAACTTGCGCACTCGACCTTTCGAATCTGTCGTATATCTACCGGGAAGGCACGAGAGGACCCGCCGGCTTGCGGCAAGGCCGTCAGGTGACCGCATCAAGAGGTCACTGAATTTAATGTTTATCTAAAGGAAATCAATGGATATTCGTATAGTTTCTTATAAACCTATGCAGGGAAGATGCGCGGCTACGGAAAGTTGCCGAGTCGCGGCGCGACCGCGAGGAGATAGTCCAGCAGCACCGCAAGATTACAAAGTGAGCCTCAGAACTTCGAATGTACCACGCCCCTAAATCGTCGACCTGAAAATGTGCAGGGAAGACGCACGGTTACGGAGGCTTGCCGAGTCGCGGCGCGACCGCGAGGAGGCGGTCCAGCAGCACCGTGAGATTCGTGCCGCGGAGGTCGTGACGACGCGCCGGCAGGAAGAGCACGAGAAGGAAGCGCAGCGGAAAGCGGAGCAAGAGGAGGAAGAAGACGAGGAGAAGATCGAGGAGCGGCGGAGGCGGATACGAGAACGCGCGCTGCAGAGGCGGGAGGAGGAGGAGGTGTTGCCACAGGAAGAAGAGGTTAGTGGGGGAATCAATATCTGCTTGTCTATTCGACACATCCACCTTCATCCACCGTCAATATTTGCAAGTCATCTATGAGTAGGCCTTCTTCGACGGCTCACGTTGAATGTAGATGTACCTGCTCAATAGAAAGGATGGCGCTTCTTTCGAGTCAACTAATGAGCTCTTTGTCGGAGACCTGGACGGAATCTTGTTGTGAGGGTCCACTGCAGTCGAAGCAGATCTTTTGAAGGTAGGCAAAACAGCTCAGGGGAACGGACGGTGTGAGATTGATGTCAGACTGGCCCATCTTAAAGTGGGCGTCGGGGTATAAAACCGGCTATTTTCGAGCCAATCCGAGTTTCGGCCAACTCACGGTAGCTCAGGTGGATAGCGCGCTCGCCTAAACTTGGCGGAAATATGCTGAGGCCTCGGGTTCGAACCGCGAAGGCCAACATTCTTGACATTTTGCACCTTCCTTTTTGGGACACATGCCTAATAGGACCTGTCGATCGGAGCATACCGGGCACCCGATCCTGCCCAAAATTTTCCATCGGACGGTCAAGAACCAAGATTGGTACTTTGGAGCTGATCGGAAGGCCTGAAAAGCTGCAAAAGTCCACTGTACCGGGTGACCCTGCTCGTGACGTCACTAGGAGTCCGCGGTACTCTTTTGACAAATGGTACGGTCTCATTGGTACCGCGGTACCTCGCGGCGCGCTGGACCTACGAGTCATCGTGACCGCTCATCGGAAGGTGGCCGAATGGACCCGATGGATTTTGAGTCGTCCGATCGGCATTCGACCTGGAAAGGACGTGCACGTCCTACGCCCACTTTAAGGTCAACAGAAGTCCTTTTTTTGATTCCATCTTTGTCACTGCCTGAATCTTGTCCCACGCAGAGAGTTTTAGAGGTCTGAGGTTTAGGCTGCACTGCCATCTGTGCAGGTCAATAGAAGTTCGTTCTTTGCTACGATACACACTACGCAGCTCTTGCCTCGTTCCTCAACCACGGAAAAGAAGTTGATGATTTTCCGAGTACGAGACCGGTTGAATCTGCGGTTCCTCCTTGTTCCGGTGCCCGAATCGTGAGGCGTCCCTTGTTTAGGAAGAAGAGGAGAAAATGTCCAGAATCGTGAGGTCATTTCTCTTTGCCAAAGCGCGGCCTGACTTTGCGCGGCCTGACTTTCGTCTCGTTCTTCGTCTCTTCCTCATCCAGAGCGAAAACGAGTCCGAATCAGTGCGACTGATAGAAGTTTTTCTTTGCGATTGCCTGACTTCTGTCTCGGTTTCCCCACAGGAAGAAGAGGAGGAAGAGTCCGAGTCCGAGTACGAGACCGACTCGGACGACTCAGACGCGGGCCCAAAGCTGCGCAAGCCAATCTTCGTCCCGAAGGCCGAGCGAGAAACCATCGCCGAACGGGAACGCCTAGAAGCCGCGGAAGACGCCCAGGAAGAAGAGCTCAAGAAACGGTTGGAGCAGCGGAAGATCGAGACGAAGCAGATTGTGGTCGAGGTGATTCGGCAAGAAGAGGAGCGGGCGAAGAACCAGGAGGAAGAAGCGGAGGATGTTGAGACGGACGATGAGGTGAATGAAGAAGAGGAGTACGAGGGGTGGAAGGCGCGCGAGCTCGCGCGGATCAAGCGCGACCGGGCGGAGCGCACGGCGTGAGTGCTCCTTTCGCCGTTTTCGCAGGGTTTAGGTTGAGGTGTTTGCCCGCTTCTTTGAGGCACTGCCAAAGCTAGTCTGCCCACGTGCCTGACAGCTTTCATGACGGATCGCGAGTGCTTTTTCCCAGCTTTCACTTATGCCCTTGGTTCTTTTGAACCCCGTTCTTATCCAACTTGGAGGAAATGGAGGAGTAGCTGGAGAAGCGTTCGCTTTTTTATTTTGCTTTTTCTTGGAGGATGCCCATTTCTTCCTCTCTGAGTTGTGAGTATTTTCGCTCATCACCGGCGCATTCAACCATCAAGTCACTCGTCCAAATCTTGTTTTCAACCCGTAGTCCTGCAGATCTGCGCTCATCACGGCGAATTAGACCCAGTCTTGTACACTTGCTGAATTTGGCCTCGAACCCGTAGTCCTGCAGTCTTGCGAAGGTGGGGAGGAGCCAGTGGAGCGGCGGCTTTTGATATGCTACTATCGCGATATACTTTCAATTCTTATCTTTTGGGGACTAACCCAGCTCTTAACCCCGTTTCAACCTTCTTTAGTTCCCTGACCCTCGTTCGATAACGGCCCTAACCCCCCTCTCCTTAGTTTGGCGAAGGAGAAGGAAGCCTTGGCTTCTTATTCAGCTTCCGTCTCTGTCTATGTTTCCTCATCTCCCTGCAATTGGCTGGATATGCTCATTACTGCGGACTCGAACCACCTTCTCACATGCCTAACCCTGGTTAAGTTTGTGCCTGACCCGTTTCCTCGCACTTCAGCGGGAGAGAAGGAGGGGCTAAAGAAGCGGTAACTCGCGACTCAGCTTCTGTGTGGGAATCACCGTTCCTAGTTTCCCTCTATCAGTAATTGGATTCGCATCTCTCTGCAAAGTAAATGCACTTTGAAACTCGTCCTAACCATCGTCCATAACCCGTTCTTCTGCAGTTTGGCGAAGGAGAAGGAGGAGCTGGAGAAGCTGCGGAGCATGACGGAGGAGGAGCGCGCCGAGTACGAGCGGCGCAACCCCAAGGAGCAGACGCAGAAGACCAAGAAGAAGTGGAAGTTCATGCAAAAGTACTACCATAAGGGCGCCTTCTTCCAGGTAAGGGACTTATTACAGTGACAGGACTTTCATCTGTTCACAGCGATTTTCCAACGTCGCTTCAAATGGTATCACTTAGTTTCCGAAAGCCCGTCGTCCCTTGTAAGTCTTACCATAGGCAAGTAGTGAAGACCAAGAAGAAGTAGAAATTATACTACCACAGGGGCCCCTTCTTCCAGGTATGGGCCTCCTTTAAGGCAAACATCTTTGACGTTTCCGTAAGCTCGCTTCAAAGAGGCGTGCCTCGATTTGCTTGTCGTCCTTTCTGCTTGTCGTCCTTGGAGAGTCTCTCCTCCATGTAGACTTGGTGAAAGTGCTTCCCTGCTCAGTTGTGGTGATGCAAAGCGAAGCACGACGTCAGCTTAAGCGATGATGCAGCGCTCTGGGCTGGGAGATGTCCGACCTTGCAGTTTCGGGAACATTAGCGCAGAAAGCGCGTGATTTCTGATTTTCGAAGCAGGTCACAAGCTTCAAAGACTCCCACTTGCCACGTCTCCGACGATAGGATAGTCTGCCGCCAGCCGCACTGCCAAATCTTGGCACGCCTTTCACCATTCATATAAGACCGCCCAAGTCCTGTCCGTCTGTTACGACCGTTCCATTTGCACATATGCGTGCTCTAGTAACAAGACGGGTATCTGTCCCGTGAACCTATGCTTGAAGAACGCACTTCTGCATTGTCACTCTCTTCCACTCCGTGCCACCGTGTTTCTGCTAAGATGCAGGAGATGCCGGACGACAAAGCACGGCCACGGCTGCACCGGTCAAGATCGCCCTCTTCTTTTCCGGTTCGATTGGGTCTATTCAACGTGCGTTGCAAGCGCATATCCTCACAATGTTTTAACGTCTTTTGATTCTAGTCGTTGTATCTTTTGCGCAGGAGGAGCCGGACGACAAGTTTGGCACAGCGGGCTCGGCCGAGATCTTCCGGCGCGACTTCTCGGAGGCGACGGGCGAGGACAAGCTGGACAAGAGCATCCTGCCCAAGGTCATGCAGGTTAGTAGAGTCAAACTCAGGTTTGAGACGGGTCACAGTCCGGGTCACCTGTGGGGCTGATTTGGGGTGTTCAGGGTGGGTACGGGGCCGAAGCTCGCGAATGTCCCTAGGGTTTGAGTGAGTGCGTTCACCGGTTTCTGACGTGTATCTCCACCGGAAGCATCGACTTGTCTCGATTTCATGTTGACTAAGGAGGGCGCCCGGAGGACAGGTAGGGTTGGTTTGGGGTTAGGGTGGGTGCGGGTGTGGGTGCGTAGCGTGTTAATTTTGGATTTTAATTTTTAATTTGTTTCTGTTCCCGAGCACTGTCCTTAGTCAACATGCACTTAGTCAACATGAATCGAGAAGTATGAAGCGTCGTGCGATCTGTAGCGGCTCGACGTTCAGATGATTGATTGATCGAAGGGCGCTGTTTTGAGTTTGCCCGAAGTCGGCGCCACGTTGTCAAACTATCGGCCCCACGAGACCAGGCTTCATTGTGCAGAGACGGCCGCAAATTACGTGGTTAGACGCTTTCTGCGATGTTAATCTGAGATTGGAAGTCGCATGCAGGTCAAGCACTTTGGCGCGCAGGGCGTACGAAGTGGACCCACCTCGTGGAGTTCTTGTGTAGCTCAACCTGGCTTAACCCAAACTGAAATCCGTTTTCCATGCAGGTCAAGCACTTCGGGCGCGCGGGACGCACGAAATGGACGCATCTCGTGGACCAGGACACGACGGAGTGGGACACGCCTTGGACCACCAACGACTTGCTGCGCGCAAAGTACAATCAGAAGATGGCGGCGATGGCGCGGCCGATCGAGAAGCCGAAGGGGAGCAAAAAGCTGAAGGACTGGGAGGAGCCGCAGCGGCGGTATGGTTGAGGCTCGGGGTCTGGTATGTCGGTGTTGCTTGTACATATAAGTCGGGCGATGAGAGTGTGAAGGCACAGGCGTGGTTGTCCGGGCCTCCTTCTCTAAGCACGTAGTTTGCCTGCTCTCTTGCTTCAATCCGTAGTCAATGTCCGACGGCCCCAACTTATGGTGCTCGATGTGCAATGGGAAAGGGGATGATCATGGCGACTCTCTAAGTGGAAAGCAGTGTATACTGCATGATGAAATCATAGTTCAATTCATCTTGCTACGATGATGGCAATGGTTGGAATGCAGTGACCACCGGACTCGACTCACATTGGTTCGAGCACGGCGGCCGCGCTGGCCGCCCCCATGTCATATGACATGGCTCAGCGGCTCACGAGGCGTAGAGGCCACCCACTAGCCGCGTGGCAATGATTCCGTCCATTTTGTCCAACTAAGATGCGCTCAGTAAGCATCACCGAAATGGCCTAGAGGCGGCTAGCTGCCGGACGTACTAACTCGCCGACAGCAACCTGGCCCGGCCCGCCCCTAGATAGCTGAGTCCGGCCCGCTCTGCTAAGACGGTCGGACTGCATCGTTGCGCACCTCCGGCAAATTAGTCGAAATCATGGGCGCATCAGGCTGCATGCATTCCGGGCTAACCGTTAGCCCGGAATGCATATTTGGTGTTGAACACCAAATATGAGTCACTCGCATGCTGTGCCACCACAAATGGGCCTGTCATAGTTACCTGGCCCGGCCCATGGGGTCTGATCCGGGCACGACGGTAAGTTGCAGTTTACCATTATATGCACGCACTAAGGAGTCAGCTTTACAGTCTGTGCACTGAAGTGGCAGTCCCCCCGGCCGCCCGATACACTATAAGCCCAAGACAGAAGACGAGAAATAAGTAGGAGCCCGGGCGGCCTTCGTTGGACTCAGCTCCCAGCGAATGCCCGTGGCGCTTCGGCCATGGCTCAGATTGTAAATGTACATGATCAGAAGGTACATGCTGTGGCGCTACGTACATATTAGTGACTAGGTGCTACAGTGAGACTGTATTTAGGACTCCGATCTGAATTCAAATGGCTTTGTAGATTGCTTTCATTTCCTACGTCATGGACGTTCAGCCTTTCTTAGCGGCAGAGCATCAGCTTAGCGGTCTTGATTTCAGTTTCTCCAACTGATTGTGAGAGCGCGTCACTAAGTGAGCAGCCTGATCTACTTTACGAGAAAGACTCAAAAGCTCTGAAGCGGCCACCGAGATGAGCTGATCAGCTGTCGTCAGGCTCGAGGAGAGCTGCAAAAAGGCAGGGAAGCACACAATAGCTTGCACTGGTGAGCTTGCTTGCTCAGACCGGCTGGGACGCAAATGGAGCATACGTGGGTCCTATCAACTCAGGCGAGCTTCATGAGGCTTGAAGAAAAGTAGACACTACAAAGCTGGACACCTCCTCTATAAAAGAGTTCCGGAAGAGAGGCACAATCAACGAAGCAGCCACAGACTGGGGCGTTACAGTTGTGAACGCTTCTGCCTAATCAGAAAGCACTACTGTGCCGCTGGCGTACAAGATTAGGCAACGTGAAATAGACATAATGTACTGGTTCAGACACTCCGAATCTTTAGATTGGTACTTTAAATAGTAAAACTGCAGAGCTACCCATTCTTCCGATTTAAAGAGCTACAATGGACTGCGAACCCTGGATACTTGAAACCCAGAGAATACATTGGTTCGAAGTTTCGGGTAGAGTGGATAATATAAAGTGTAGAACAAGTACACGGACCCAAAGAACGAATCAGTCACTTGGAACCAAAACTGCACAGTCTTTTTCAAGATAAAGCCCGCTTTTCAAGCTTCCAGTATCACTCTACTCGTCCACATCAGGAAGCAGGATATACCGCGAACCGGGCTCGCTCAATGTCGGCCTATCTATGGGGTCCAGCACTCACAAACTACACTAGCGGAACTGGTTACTTCCGGTAACCCGGTTCACTCTGTTCATTAAACCCCCTGCTTTTCGGTAGCAGAACCGGGCTTGCTAACATCTGCGAACAACGAGTCGAAGTGGGGCACACAGCAGCACTTAATATGCGGGGAACCGTGGATTATGCAGCGAGTAGGTGGCAGGCTTAACGGGTCTCAACCATCTGGGTTAGCACAATCTTGAATAGCAGAATATACGAAGTTGGGGTTATTGCTAACCTTCTGGGTGGGCCCTATCCAAGACGTCCCCGGGTTTCGAAGGGAGGAGCTGGTCTCACTCAGCGCACGCTGCAAGCACACGACGGCTACGTTCAAGGCGGTGAACCCCACAAGACGAAATAAAAAAGGCACACTCCCTCCTACCTAGCGTTTCGACTTTTGGTGAAGCCGCTGAACTCGGCCAGAGTAGCAGCCAAAGTAAGTAAAGCGGGGTAAAAGGAAACACCGCAAACAGGACGCCATCAATCGAGCGTGAAGAGATACCTGAAATGCCACGCCTATGATTGGAACGACAGGGGCTGTGCTCAGCAGGAGGGTGTCTGTGTGGAGGTTATTCCAATGTCTACTGATTGTTACGAACTTATTTCCCATCACTTTGATTGCCCAGCTTCCTCTCTGGCTCTGTGAATCCAACCTCAGAAAGTCCTTATCAGTGATGAAAGTGAACCGACAGTCAAGAGGTTCCACCCCAGAAGCGCTATTTGATGACAGCAGTCTTCCCTGTGCATACGGTGCTAAAACTCTGCTCTGCAGACACTTCGTGCAGCATGCTTGCGACACTGTACACTCATAAAAGTCTCCATTTTTGCTTGGAACTCTCTTCAATAGAACAGACAAGAACACCCCAAAATGAGCATTAGCTCAGAACAGAAGACGGATGATGAACATACTTCAAACCGTGCCTCCAGGGTCCCGGTCCCACCAGATTCTCGGTCTCGTGCACCTGCACAAATTTTCTAAGTATGTAATCATACAGCCTCGTTTCAGCAATAGCATACGAGTTGGTTGCACTCTGCTAGCAAAGACACACCTGGTTGCGGGGCAAGTGTGATTTCTACCAACATATTTGGCCAGCGACAATCCGGCCTTCACAATGGAGTTATATTCTGCCAGCGACTGGCTGAGACTTTTTGGTCAAGCTGCCACTTGCAGACTTACGCAAAGAAAAACCAGGAATCTAGCAAGAATCATTGGCAGATTACAGGTTACGCAGCTACCAGCTCCAAAGCTGCTCTCAACTCGGAGAGCAGCAATGCATTAGCTCATCCATCAAATCATGCATCAGGCAATCCGTAGCTCATCCATAAGCAAATTCCGAACTCCGTTGGCGCCGACCCTCAAGCTCCTGTACCCAGAACTTTGCAGGGGACTATATACAGTCCAATGACGTGCATTTCCTCATTTTAAAGCTCTGCCTGGATTGCTGCCAAACACCAATAAAATGCAACTCTCTGCAACAGCTCTTGAATGCAGGCAGGAGAGAAAGTTCTCAACGTCTCCCACCTTCAAGCTGCTCAGCATTCGGAGGGGCTCCCCCTGCTACGTCCTCTCCCGCCAGATCCTCCAACATCTCGCCTAGGGTGAGCAGCGGTCGGGCTGCGCCCCCGTGCCGGAAAGGTAACATGCCGTCCTCTTCAATTGCCAACAATCAAACTGTACCGGACTGTTGAGTTGGTCCAACCTGTTCCCTGTTCTCTTCCAGACGCTCCTGATGACTTCTCTTGGACACAAACTGTGCGCCTGCCGGCAGCAGCCCTATAGCTGGATATGAATTGTGATAGCTTTCACTGCCTGCATGGCTGGGCCCGCTTGTTCTCGCGGCCGCGCTGGCGTGGGGATGAAATTTGGATGGACATTCCATTTCATTTTACAACTGGGACGAAGTCAAAGCCATAAGCTTATGGCGCTTAAGTGCAAAACCGGCATCACGGTCTTGAGCAAACGGCGCCCAAATTTCCCCGTAGAAAAGACTGCGGGTGTGACGTTCCTAGTAACGTCGGTCAGATACGGCGGAGACTGCGGACTGCAATGAATGTTCGAATTTCGAAACCACCTGTACAAAAACATCGATCTTCAATTGTGAATGTGCATGAGCCGAATGCCGCCCGCCATCTGTCTGCCATATGGACGCAGGGCTTCAACGCACATTTGATACCACCTCATCAATGACATCATGTCGACAGGCCATCTGCAGTTGACGCGAAAGTTGCGAACCAATGGATCCATAATGTCAGACTGACCGGCGGGTGCGAGCTTTTAGGTCCGCTTTTAGGCGTTGAAATTCATGGCATGGAAGCTGTCCATTGAACGGGTCAACAGCGTCAACGCACGAAGTTTGGTTCAGGATTTTCGATCAGCATGAACTGCAAGTTAGGCCTATGTTTGGAATGGTAGATAGAGAGCCCAAAAAGTGTTTCAACAGCGTCAACGCATGGAGTCGACGTCAGAACACGTAAAGTTTCTGATCAACAGCGTCAACGTATAACGCGCCTGCTGCATGCGCGTATGGATCCGACGGCAGACTGACGCGGACTGACAATGACATTTGAGAACCCTGCCTCTATATATCTTCGAAAACCGGTCAGGGCTTATCCTGGCAACTGGCAACACGGAGGCAAGAGTAGACGTCGAACACCACCCTGGTAGTACCCTAACGTCGAAGCGGCTTGCCGAGCTATTCAAGTCCCTTCAGAACCTTCCAGCAGCTTGACTTCAGTGTTCTGTCAGCTGGCGCTGGTCGCCTTGTTTTCCTCAAGAGGGGTTTAAAAGCTTCATTCAGTCGAATCGTCTTGGCAACCGTCGTTTTGAAGAACCGAGTAGTACTTACTCGAACGTCTATCACTTCCAAGGAGGCGCACAAGCTCGCCTCACAAAGCCGTCTGCGGCGGCGCAGCTGATCAGTACCGGCGCATCTGACTAGCTTCGAAGTTGCTCCGCACTGCTTCAAAACATACCTAACCAAAGCGATCGGCCCGGCCTCGCTTCCTGAAAATCTCTTATCCACTGGGCTCCTGAAGCGTTTTCCTTTGCCGTCAAGCGCCTACTTCTTCATTACATGGCAAAGCGCCAGACTGTAACGATGGCCAACGGCACCGCTTTGCCGCAGCTCGCGGCGCTCGCGCTCGCCGTGCTGACGTCATTCTGGATGCTCAACGGAGTAGCGCAGCCGGCGCTGGCGCACCGGACGCTCAAGCCCTCTTCCGGGCACGTCGGCGACTTCGAAACAGACAACATGGGAAACCCCGTGAACCACTACGCGTGCGGTTTCTATGACAATACGGACCTGAGGGACGCGGGGCTGGCACACCAGCCGTGCTATGGGGTGGACGGTTCCATCCAGTTTTGCTGGTGAGTCACTAGAAAGCTGGTCATGGTCATGATTATGGTCTTCAGTTTCAAACCAGGTAAGTTTTACTGGTGATTCGTTCTAACAGGAAGATGCAAAAATGGTGGACGTTTTCGTATGTTCGAACCAGAAATTCTTGCAGGAAGCTGCTGCATAGACAGCGGACGTTTTAGTATGTTTGACCCAGAAGGTACATAAACTAAAACATGCTTGTAACGACCGGCGACTTTCTAAGACGAAAGTCCTATAAAACGATAACTAGAACAGGGGAAGTGGATTCAGTGCAACAGCCTACAAGATACAGAACTTTGACACTGACGGTCATGAACAGCCCACCTTGTAAAACTACGTCTTGGGGACGACAATTTCCTCCAACTTTACTGTAAGTGTTGACGTGCTGCGGATTAGTCAGGGTACCGATCTACTCAATTTAATCCCGGTGTGCCTTAAACTGGTCCTTGACAAGCGGGTGGGGCTAGCCTGGTGTTTAGGAGGAGTTGAGGTCCAAATTGCATAGTCCAACCCCAACCAGCTTTACAGCAACCCTGCCCCTCTTGCCCGACGGAGCCTCGTTTTGTATGGAAAAGCGAGGTCATTGAACAGCGAAGATCGCAAGCTTCTTTTTTCACTTTTGCAGCCTTTCCGGAAGCTCCAAGTGCTCTTGCCCCGCGGCTGCCGGGTACAACGTCGGCTGCTTCAACTATGTAAGCATCCAACCCCGCCGCGACAGTGCAATTTCACACCTGCCGCAGGCCGGAATATTTGTTAGCTGTGACGATTATGAGGAGATGCATCCTACGTGATCAGGTGCTTGTCGACATCTCAGTCGCCACGCCGACTTGAAGCGGGCAAGATAGGAGAAGATCCACTTCCTGGTTTGAAAAGTTTCATGCTATACTAGCTGCTGGAGCGTCGGACCCACACAACGCGTGCTCTGAAAGTTGTTACGAACTAGTTGGGGTGCATCTGTAGTGGGTACGTCAAAGTACTTGCGAAGGACCTTGAAAGGTTACGTCTCTTTTGGTACACTAAGTCCGCGACACCTGTCAATGCCTATCTCAGATTCTTCCGTGCGCTGTCCGTTTGCAAATGTTTCCTCATGTCGAAAGCAACTTTAGCGGAACCTCGACATCGTCCAAGCCGGACAAATCCGCCCTTTAATTTCTCCAACTTGGATAGCTTTACTCTTTCGTCATTGTCCGAAGACCGTCGAGAAAACCTGCTACCCTTCTGGCTTCTGCTGACGTCACTTCCTCCACCGCTGACGTCAGGAGGACGGCAACAGCTTGAACGCCAACACCGGGGAGGAGTGCGGCTACTTCCTCCCAGAAGAGGCGTCCACGCGGCGCGGGCTAGCCGATAGCGTCTGCGTCTGCCCATCGAATGACCTGTGTACTCGCACGTTCGACCAGAGTTATAATGCCAACACTCTCCGGTGCCAGCCATCTGGGACCAACGGCTCGCCGCAGCGCTGCGAATATGACAAGTATACGGGGGTGATCCAGGCGAATAAGACGTGCTGCCCGTATACTGCTTCGTGCTAATGTGTCACGAACCTCGCTGGTTGCTGCTCACCAGTGGAGGTCGCGGTCAAAGTGATCCGCAATAAGAAGGGTACCTTAGTTGACAGTCAACGGGACACCATTGCTACGTGTATATCAGAATAGAGTCAATATCTTCGTGACTAATGTAACAGGTCGTGAAGAGTGCATATACAGTAGTTATAGTCCGTAGGGTTACTAAATCGTAGCAGACTGGCTTAGAAATCTTCCATACTCTTCGTCGGACAAGTTGTAATCTACATTATTGGAAACGGTATAACATGTAAGCTTGGTTAAGATAGAACACGCCCGATATATGTAGCCTTCTCCTTCTGTCAATTAGCACAGGCTTCAACCCCGTCAAGGGACAACGTTGTCCAGTCATTATAGCTGGACCAATTTAAAGAGAAGCTCTTAAGAGCAAACGTACAAGCTACGTATGCGTAGCTCGTTTCGTACGTATATGCGCTGCCAGGGCTTCCTTGGACTGCCAAATGATCGGGCTAAACATATTCGCAGTTATGTATCAAATCCGCTTGATTCTCACAGGCGGCGCATGCCAGTCGTCCGATTGCGAGCTCGCAGAGTCGTGTTGTTTCTACCCGCCGGCTTTGGTACATATACCTGAACGGCTCTTATTGAGTGGCAGCTGGCAGACGGAGTTACTTGTGGAAGACATTTATTCGTAGATTTGAGACTCAGTGCACGTATTTCGAGATAGTTCCTAAAGGCCCCTTTGGTTCAGCTTTCTTTCAGTTATTTCTCGGCCAAAGTACCGGAACTCCGAAGTGGTCGAGGTGCGGTGAAAGCCGCACCTGTCATATCCTGCGAGGAACGGAACACAATCGCCAACGGGGCATTGGTCCCAAAGACGTTCGACGGAATCCATTGATTATGGCATTGATCATCTTTTGAATTGGATTATGATAGAACACGACCGGCACATTCTTTACAGTTTCAATTTTCTTTTGAAGTAGCAATCTTTCCCATAAGCTGATAGCCAAATACTGGTGCAAAGCTTTGAGTTTTTATCAGATCTGCCCCTTGGAGAACCCTCAAAATGCCGGCCAGTGATTCAGGACCACGGTTGTTCATATCAAACACGATTCAAACTGCGAAACAATCAGGAGACAATCCTAGTATTCCAGTTCTGCTGGCCCTTTGATGGGCGTTCAAAGGTAAAAGCGGTGAAAAGTGATTCAGATCCTCCCTCCAGCTCTGGGGGATTCTAGACTATCAGCTCTTCTGACAAGCGAGCGTCCCAGACCGCACCGAAGACTCTCGCGCAGTATCGCCGCATCTTTAGCGGCTGCCTGCGACATTCGACGTCGAGAAAGAGCAGTCTCAAAGCGCGATGGGGCTTCATGATTCAGCCAATTCTGGCCCAATTTCTAGGAGAACCGAAAGATAGAGATATGTATACGTAATGCTGCGGCCTGCCGGTCCTAACGACATTACACGTCGCCGTTCTCAAGAGCCTCCTTTCGAACTGGGCCCCAGCGCTGCGCGCATTTAGCCGTCGCCCTTCCGATATCGCGTGCGCGCATCAAAGACGGTATACGCCGACGAGCGGAACGCGCGCTCCTGACCTGACGATATGACGACCCCGCCTGACTGCAACACTGGCAGCCCATCGAGCGCCGCGAGCTGCGGCAAGATGGTGCCGTTCACCCGTTGGCCATCCTCGAAGTCTGGCGCTTTGCCTTCAGAGCGCCGCGGAGAAAGTCCAAAGGCAAGCACAGGGAAGACGCTTCGAGAGCCCACTGCACAAAGAACCATTTACTAGGCGACGCTGGCCGTCTCTTTGGTGATTACTAGTAACGTCTGAAGCACTGCGAAAAACTTCGAAGCCCAGAGCGTTTTTCCACCTGGCAGCTTCATGCCACGTGGCTCTCGGGACCGCTCCTAGGAACCGGACGGAACGCCTTCAGAAGCGAAGCCCTGGTGATTGACCCGGGCATCACTCTTGAAGGAGTGCCATGTAGCTTCGGTAGAACGGAATATCTTGCGCTCTGCCACGTGGCTGATGCCATCAACAGGACTCGACCGCAGCGCGCCAGGAGAGGCTCCCGCAGGAGTCAGCTGTCTGGAAGAGTGGTCTGATTGGAAGGGGGCCGCGGGGCCAACTGGTCCGTGGATTTCAAGTGGCCAAATGATCGGACCGACCTTACTATTGCCACGTGGCCCATGGAGAAGCGCCCACCGGGACCCGGTGCGTAAGGCAGGGTTGCTGGGGCTTTCAAGAAAGGTCGTCGAGGGGAGGAGGCCGCTGGACCAGGACTATGGCATGGCACGCAGGGCAGACCTGCGCGCGCAGCGTTCCCCCGTTTGGCAATCAGCCGGCAGATAGTCTTAACCCGCGGATGCCGAAATGGCAGAGCAGTGGGCAATTGGGGCAGAGCAGAAGCTAGGTTTGAATGTTTGGTTTGAGGCGACCATGAATCAGATTGGGGCCGGTGAATGTCGCAGAGTTGCCCAGCGTCGAACCGCCGCGGGAGAGTCGACCAGTGCGCTCGGGGAGACTGTGCGTGCGAAGAGAATCGGAAGGTTTGCAGCCAGGCGACATGGGCGGGCAACGGCTTTATAGCTGAGAGTTCGAGGAGAAGAGTCGAAGTAAGAACATTTGCGTATGAGTTGCTCACAAGGTCGTCGAAGCAACTTGTGCGGCAGCCTCTAGTTGCGGAGCGGGACACTGTAACTAGTCTTGCTGAAAAGCCCTCGCGCAAATCTGAGAGTCTTAGTTGCTTGAGGTGTTTCTCGTGATATTCAAAGACCGTCAGACCGGTCATTTGAATGGAGGAGGAAGTTTGTGCATAGGGTGCCCCGTTCGGAAAATACCAAGAACGGATGTGTGGCCCTGGTGAGAAGTGCGTACATTCATTGGCATCCAGGAAAGGATACCGCTTTCTGATTCGGACCCAAAATGGATGATGCAAAGCAGGTTCTTCGGATGCCCTGAGAGTTCTACGAGCCCTGTGTCGTACTGCTCGGAACAATGAGCAGGTTCCTCGAGCACTTTTATTTTACGTCCTAGAGCCATACGCATGTGTTTGAGCTTCGGAGACGCCTTGACAGGAGCAGACAGCAACCAGATGACGGACCGGGAAGGATACGAGTGGTTGGAGGAGGTGAAGAACGAGCTTTGTAGGAGCGGAAAACGAGTTGAGCTGCCGCGCCCTTGATTGGGCACGCCTAGATGCGCTCGAGCGAAGCGCTTCGTTTGCTTACCGAGGTGGTTAGATTACTCTTCTTTCATTTTAAATTCCAACCAATTCAGGGCACGGCTCCTTCTGAGCCGCTCTGTAAGACTGACAAGAAGCTCGGGTGTTCCTGAAGTGTTTCTGTGGTCACGACTGCGGCAGAAAGGGTTCTCTTCTTACGCCACTTAGGAATGTGTTCATGACAGGCCGTGTTCTTACGGATCCAGCATCAGGAAGCACGTGAGGACGTTTCCTGCCAAAGTAAGAAAAGAAACCACAAGAGGAGGTGGGGAAAGGAGTCACGCTTCCTGATCATGTTCGCGAGCAGATACTTGTTAAGTAACTCACTTCGAACCAGCCGTACGTGATTAGTATGGACTGGCCAAAGTGTGCAGATTGCGAGACCTTCCAGCAATCTCAATAGACCTTAGAAAAGGTCGCCTGTATATATGTTTGCAAAAAAGCGAGCACACACTCAATTGAGTAACGAGACTCAAACATCAAAATGATTCAACGTGCGGCAGTTGATGTTGCTATAACGTATCAGCTTCCTGTTAGCCAAGTATTTGACCTCAGTCTGGGCGAACATAGACTTCGCCTCACAGACATAGAATTTCTCCTTCCGAAGAAGATCCAGAACAATACGCAAATGCGCCTGATGTTCTGCCTCCGTTTTTGAGAAGATCAAAATGTCGTCAAT